CGGCCAACTTTTCCACCCAAAGCATCAGTAAAGAGCAAAAGTAGCACTGTTTATGTTTGGAAAACTGCGTCAAGATGACATACATTAAGATATAATATGCATCAATTTTTGGACACAATGTTTCGCCCATCATCCTGAGTGTCATTTATAAATACCCATTAGATCGTTATTAGTGACTAAATATAATAGCATTAAACAGTGCAAATTTCCCAACAAGTATCAACACGAACGAAGCAAGTGAAACGCATTTTTTTAACTTCATGTAAATGAAGGTTCAGGAAAAATGTCAAAAATTTTAAACATTTATTAAATAAGAGGACAGGGAGAGAAGAGACGCTATGCCAGCTATGATAGAAGGTATTTTATTTCAATCATAATTCAAACTGCCACCGAACATCCAACTATTGCATGAGGCGGTAGCTGATTAATTATCTACTCGTAACTTTTTATGTGAATTAAAAACGCTTAGCTTGATGGGATCTTTTTGATTACAAGGCAATGTTCGCGTACATAAGGTAATTATGGGTTTAGCAATAAATAAAATGGCATCAATAATCGTATAATCAGTTGCTCTAAGCAATGTACATTATGTCACATAATCGCGCAATCACCGCGTAATTTTTGCAGTCACGATTTCCTAGGGACAACAAAATCTAAAATACTTTAAATTTATTCGTCTTCCGCTCAATTCGCGTTTATTATTTAAATTATTGATCAATTTATTTTTAATGGTTCGTATTTATATTTCTCTCCACGATACTATTGTACGCCAGGGAAGGTTGTTGAAATTAATTTTTTCATCATATCAGCTGGGGAACATGTAATACTATAAAATGTAAGTAAACATTCAACTTTTAATCAATTTAAATAGACAAATGTTCGTCAGAAAGGTATATATAAGTAACGAGCATCCTTCTGATAAATAATGTAAACATTCTCATTGAAGCAATGAGTTAAATTAATCAGATCAAAAAATCACAAAAACAAAATTTTAAATCAAACATTCTTTTTAGTGACTCATCTTAAGATAGCAACTATTCTACTTTATTTGGGACTTCTTTAGAGAAATTCACACAGCAACGTCGACTCGGTGCCTCAAACTCAAAAATTCTTACGTCAATCGTATAGAAGCTACGAAGATACGCGCGTGTAGTTGCAAAGTTTCATTAACATTCTGAATGACGATAGCTTTACACCCCTTATTTATTCAATACTTGCTCCAGATTTTAATTGCGTAATTGAAGTAACTATTTGGAAGAAAACATTTCATGAAAAACGAGGACCGAACTCAATAAAAACTTACGTTCATTGCAGCCTTCATGGTGATGCCAGTTGCAAGTTTCATGTCAGCTACTCTGAAAATTGTATTGTCTAACAGGAAGTATTTGTAATTATTCAACAATTTACGGAAACGAATTGATTTGTTCGAATCAGAACGCTGAAGTAGGGAGAAGTTACAACTTTGAACATCGCCGGTCAAGTCGAGGGCAGAACTTGAGCAATTGTGCTAACTGAAATCCTTCGTCAGATCCTTTCAATTAAATTGAAAAGTTCAGCTTACATCACGAATTGTATATTTAACATAATGAATTTGTAAACGAACTTTAATAATTACGTTTCCTGGAAACTTTTTTATAGAAACAAGCAGAAATACGTCACTTTCAAATACAATGAATTTATGGGAGGAGTAAAATTGCGGCTTTACATGAACAACGCAACAACATCGCGCCGCGTGAAGTTATCGGAATTACTACAACGAATGATAAGAACAATTAACGACCTTGCATTTTATCCTCGGTAAATATGTATTATAGGAGCAAAACGTTCTTCCTATGGGAGAACATTGATGACCAGAGAATGTCGCAACCAACGGAGTCATTCAGTAGCATTTTGAACGAACTATCCGGAATGAACTTATTTCAGACCTGGCGCTGAAATTATTCGTTCAAAGTTTAAACAATGAGTGAGACGACAAATGGCTGAGTTTTTGAATTAATAATGATTTTGTACCAATTATGCAGAATAGATTATCAGGAGACTTAATTCTAGCATCATTGGAAGCACCACAATTAACTCTACCAGCACCAATGCCATCCCTCCATTACAAATATAAAAAGGCGCTTATATAGTTAGTGGAGTACGAGTGTTTTCAAACTAATATATTGTTTGCTCCTCCAGCAAGACGTTAATCAACCATAATTTTTGCCATAGACTGGCTGTCCGATGCAACCCTTTGTATACAATTTTGTATTCGTAGTTTCCAGCTCAATAAAGCTAAAAGTATCACAAATGTAGATATTCTTCAATAACGAAATCATGGATAGACAATTTCATCAATTTCATTGACGGCCGCAAACAAACCAATTAATACCCGATATAATTAACTGGACATTTACAATAAGCATCATTAAACCCTCTTCCAAATTCATTCATCCATTCAGGACCATTCTATACATTCCTACTATACCTATTATTGTTAGCAGTAGGCCTAATGAGGATCCACCAGATCCATCCCAGTCCACTTGACACATTTATTGCTGAGGAGAACTGCGCTGTAGCAAGACATAAAGCAAAGAGTGCAGATATCAAGATCTTTAGAAGCGTCGGGCTAATATAGCCTTATTAATATTATTGAGCTTCAGATGGCGCACACTTATTTACACTCGGGGCCTTAAGTTCTGATGTACACAGCAGGTACGGCAGCAAATATACTGTTGTACACTGTAATTACAGCAGCGAGTATTGTTGCACGCTGTAGGTACAACAGCAAGTGCTGCTGCACACTGTAGGTACAACTGCAAGTGCTGCTGCACACTGTAGGTACAAGAGCAAGCACTGCTGTACAATGGTACAGTACACTGTACACTATAGGTATAGCTGCAAGTAATGCTGCACACTGTCGGTACAACGGCACAGTGTACAAGTACTGTTGTACGTATACACTGTGGCTACGTAACACAAGTAAAACTAGTTCACTTCCTGTACCTATAGATGGGGATTACCTTTGATGGAAGCCATAATCTAAAAAAAAAACTACGTCGCTATTTGTATAAACAATAACAATTTCTTTATAAAATCAATATTGTTAACAGGAGACCATTAATTGTTAAATTAAAATTACTTTGATTTTCATGAAAATTATTTGTTGTGAGATTCTAATCAAACATTTGTGCATACTGAGCTCCGTCGCTGCGTGACCTCGGACCAAATTTTACATTTTTACGTATGAAATTGCTAGATAAAGTTACAACCAACTATTTTTAGATGAAATTTCAATTTATTTGCAAATGATATCGTTTTTAACGTAAGAAAAACGGTTGCCCATGGTGCGACTGAGGCCGAAGAAGACTAGTACAATCTAAGTTGCTAACCCTGTACGCTGCTTGTCCAATATACATTTGGTGTGGACGATTCTATGGATATTCTTCTGCATTTTCCCCCGAGTACTGATAAAGATGTTTTAGTAGTGATCGACGTACGCCTTGATGGAACCATATTTGTTAGTTGAAATTTTTACCGTAACTTTGAAATGCATTTCAAACTTCCACCCGCACTTTATAGTGCTTACTGCAAAATCTAGAAAAATTCTGTTTTGAACGCAACTCTGAAGCAACAACGAAAAACGTTGGAAAGGTATGAAGTAAAACTAATCACAAACACAGAGGAATAATTGAAATCTTTTGTAATACCTTGTAAGGAATAAGCTAGAAGCAGATTATTCAACTAGCCTTTGGCGAGGTGGAGACCGAGTTTGTGATGTTTGTTCTGAAGTTGCGGTCGCGGGAGTTTGTTCAACGCTGGCCAGCAAACAACACTTGTTTCGAGGTCAGGTCTGTGTTTGAACCAACCCTAAAACTTTCATGCATGTCCGGGCGGAATTTGGCTAGTTGTTTCCCAACATTGATACACGCGTGCAATGTTACACCTTGCAACTTTGGACACTTCCGACGATCGAGGTACATTTTCTCCTCTCACACACTTCTTTCAGTGGGGTGCGAGACCAGTTTAAACGAGCGAGTTAATTCTCTCTAAAAGTCCTCTGAACGATATGTCATTAACTCTATTTTCCAATTAAAATCATAGAGTAAGAAAAAGCTTTAGTAGCAAAAAAACAAGCTCAAATAGTTTCTTGTAGAGCCGTTATTGAAGAGTTTACTTAAATATTTCATTTCATTCAAGCACTAAAGTAACTGTTCGATATTTCAGAAGTAACCGGGTATTATTTAACCATATGTTTAAGCCTAATGAGAACACGATAAAAATATTAGTAGATTATTCATACTGAAAGAATGAGCAGAAATAAATCAGAATCATTCAATGCAGGAAACAGTAAAATAATATACGATGCGTGCGAGACATGTTACCTGTTTTACTTCCAAACTGCACTTAAAAAACAATATATTATAACATAACATAGTGATCTCGGCGCTGAGGTGTAGGCCTGATGTGGCCTGTCGCCGATTCTTTTTCTTTTCGTGCCTTGTTCACAGAAGATCTAAAATCGTGTCATTTGACCGGATCTTTTCGTGGGGACCTCATTGAAGTATACAAGTATACTCCAGGTCTATACAAGGTCCCTGAAGGGTTACTAGAATTTGAAACAAGAACCAACACCAGGGGCCACGGCTATAAGCTAAAAAAACTGCGCTGCAACTTCTCCACGCGGCAAAATTTCTTCTCGCTTCGAATCACCGACATGTGGAACAGCCTTCCCGATGACATCGTTGGCGCTCCAAGTATGAACGCGTTCAAGAACAGACTAGATAAAGCTATGGAAAAATATATGTTCAGATTTGAAATGCCTAGCTCCTTATCGAACCCGGTGGAAGTCTAGCAGCTACTTCAAACTATCGCCAGTCATGAAAAGATCCGGTCAAATGACACGAGTTTAGATCTTCTGTGAACAAGGCACGAAAAGGAAATGAATCGGCGACAGGCCACATCAGGCCTACACCTCAGCGCCGACATCACTATGTTATGTTATGTTAAATAGTCAGATAGTTAGATAGAACTCGGAAGGCGTCAGTACTCGCCGGACAACAATAACTACCATCGATGCTAATGATGTAACTGAAATTTCAAGCAGGGAATATCTTGTCAAGAAAAGGGGTCTCGGGAAAATCCCAATTATTCCTCTTTAATCTAGATGCTAAATTACCGGAACTTAAATTACGACGGACCGTAGAGCGCAACTTCGACGGGAAAGTTCATGAACGCAGCTTAGTTTTCATGTGTGATGAAGTGCATTATCTCTGGGTGATGAGGATGAGGACGAGAGTGGTGAATTCGTTCCCCCACCACCGTAGTGGTGGGTGTAGACTCGTCGTGCTGCTGCCACTGCTCCCTGCAATCAAAACATCAAACGTGTTTTAGCTCAGATTAAATTTAACCGACTTAAATACACTATTTCGTCGATTAATAATTATAACCAAAAATCAAATGAATATTTCTATTTTAAAATTTCGAATACTTTCCCTTTCTGAGAAGTTTCCATTAGCAAAAATATTAAATTTTCAGTAATATAATATGAACATAGGCCTCGATGAGTATATGGCATGACCTACAAATTATTAAACCCAGAGGTATGTGATATCAACCATAATTATATGCTATTGCTACTGAAAACTTTATATTGTTTCAACGAGAAACGCGAGAATTTCCATTCAACCTTCATGATTAACAGGCAACAATATCTGCGACCTTATTAAGGGAACGAGTAGTTTCTCCCTGTAATAGGATAACTTTCAGGAATATGATGCAACCTTTGCTATAATTATGGCTGGAGATAAAGTTCTCGGAATTTTTTTATATTGAGTATTCGCATAGCAGGTCTCCTTGTGAAGATCGCTGCTCAATACTTATAATTAATATTAACATATTTTAATAGCAATTAATTTGATGCTGGAAATTCTTGGCCTCTCTAAGCGTATGGACAGGAAAAATTGGAAAATCTGAAAAAATGGCACAGAAAAAATCTCGCGAAATTGCGAAAAAGTGGAAAACCCGCACGTAGTCATGATAGGCGTTAAAATTGCGTACGTTGCGTTTACGCAAAGTGTACGATCGTTGAGTACGCATTTGTGTACCAACTTTTTATATGCATAACACGACACTATACAGTGCACGAATGACGAGTACACGAAGGAACGAATTCAGTCAACTCCACACCAAGCGAGGACGATGCGTGGCTATGCGAACCAATATCATTGTTTACCGGTATAAACTATGATTTTTTTGAAAGATATCTCATCTTAATGCAAACGAGCTCATTTTTACTTGTATAATTGAGGAAAAGAATGAAATTTATTAAAAAAATTTCTGAAAATTACATTTAGAAGTGAGTTCAAATTTAATCGGTAAGATTTCCAGCATGTACATACTTTAATGTATACTGTGACTTAAAGTTTACCTATCTTCCTTGTCAATATTCATGTCCACCGTCTTATTGTAAAGGTACTCAATGCAATCCAGCATAGAGCCCCTCTCTTTCATTTCAGTCCGTTATTGCACTATGTATCTAATTGCCAACCCTTCTTACTTGTCAGTCTGTAATTTAATATATGATCGCGAGTAAATTTTCAGATGGAAGTCTTCGTGACCTGCATAGTCTTGTAAGAATAAGACAACGTATTTGGTTTCTCAGTTTTCTGTTGAATGTTTGCGGAGTAATTTCAGAGACTTCTCTACAGTGGTTAAATTTGATTAGTTGTATTGTAGCCTGACAGTTTATATCACTGTGAAATCGTGTAAGATGTTATGCAAAATTTATAATACTTTTTTAATTTGCTTTCAGAAATTCACTGTTTTGAGTAAACTTACTCAAGGAATGCAATTTCGTAAATGCCGAGATGCCTTTCTAACTCGGACAACGCCTTTTCTGATTTCCGTGTAACGATGCAGGTGTGTTGGGAATGGGAAGGCCTGAAATCAATCTAATAATATTTTAAGCCTTTTTATGAAAGGATTCTAGCAATTCTTTCTGTTTTTGTGATTGACATAGGATGTGTTTCTGTTATTAATACCCTTCCAAGTTGAATGATATTTAACAGGATTTATTCCATGAGGCAAATATCCTTCCGAGATTAACATTTTTTTCTGGTCTTGGGAAGATTTATTTATTTGAGCGCGGGTCCAGCTCTAAATTGAGAGCAGTACTCTCAACCACTATACATTTTTTACTACTATACATTTCCGAAACTCTAAGACACATTGTAAATAAACAAATGATATAAATTGTTTGTCTTTTTAGAGTGTTTAGTCTTCTCAGTTCTCACCTAGTAACTATATAATTTATAATCTTACCAGATGTAAAATGGAGGTTTTTATGGCATCTTCGGTTGGTTTTTGCTCAAGTTCCAGCAACGTTCTTATTGGATCGCGCAGTTCTTGTAGTCCGATTATAATTGTATTTTTACACGTTTGTTGAGTTTTTCAGTCTAACGTTTAATGCAACGAATAAATTTTCTGTTGGAATCACACTTATTAAAAAATTCTCCACGAATGCTGACTTTTTGAAGGGACGCAGAAGGACAGCACCAAATATGGCAGAGTCGCCATCAAACGTGCACATCAAAAGCGCGTTGGGTCGCGCAATACTGCAGGTATTTTGATCCCAGATCGACCCATGCCAAAACGGTCATTTGCTCGGTTCAACGGATCCTTTTTGTGCGTGATTCCAATGTCTGAATATTGACATCGTTTCTTTCGGCCACAAACTCCAAATGCCGTCTAACTCATCACTAAACATTGCACAACTTTCTTTCACCGAAAAAAAAGTTCAAAATACGCTATTTGCTGAAAGAAAAAAGGATTTTTTTATTTGATGACTCAGAATAATGAGGCTAGTGATAGAAAATTTGACCTGATATCAGCTAACAACTTGATGTATAAATGTATGCATATTAACTCGAATTACCTTTTTGTTTCCGAAATTGAAACTGAGATTTATTGATGGATAAATATACCTAGCTGCTGAATCTGTGAGGTGATTCATCGTTTGCTGATGAGTTTAAGATAACATATATGAAACATGATACGTATATGTAATGTAATAAACTTTAATGTGCGTTCATTTACGAGCCCATATATTGTAGCTACAGATTCATAACCACCTCTCTGATATTTTTTGCGGGATTTAATGAAAGAAGATCAAGTTTTTGCGGCCATAGCCAATATGATGAAAAGTGACCAAAAATTGGCAATAAATCAAGAATACTTTGATGTTGTTGCTTTGAAGTCTGGCGCTGGCACTCACTGACAGATTTTTTGCTAGACAGGTTGCTGTAAAAAAAGGTTTTTTAATATGAGGTTTTGAAAAATTCTAAGCAATTTCGTTGCTTACATATCCCGCTAATTTCAATATACGACGTGTGGATTATCTAAAAAATATTCCGTGGTAATCGGGAAAATGTTTATAAATAATTCGTTAATAAAAGGTAGGCTAATACTCGGATTAGCAAATGTTGAGCGAACAGAACGACAATATTGTGAGTCAAGTTTAGGGCTTCTATAGCTGTGTTCCGTTTTCGCTGCTACGAATTCGGATTTTATTCCTTTTAGCGTCTTTAAAAATAAATTATAATTAATTCTAAATAGCGAATAAATAATGAACACATTATTATTTAAACGCCCCAAAAAACTTCTGGCGTTATGCATTTTGAGTTATTGCTAGAAAGAAAATTTTTACTTCTTCCTAAATGAGAATCAAAGGCACTATTATTAGTGTATTATTTTAGATGATCGTAATTTATGTCGCTAAAGAACCTATTTTCCTCCAGGTCCTGCAACATACAAATAAACTTAGAGATCTTGTGTGTGAGAACACAAAATAGAACTGAGTGGCAATGCTGACGATTTCATATGTAATGCGGGAAGGTTTCATGTTGTCATTGCCAGCAGATTAAGTGATCTTGTCAGTCTCTCAAAAATGATACGGAATATTCCTAATAATCACTCCAAATATTTATGTAGCGTTACAAATATCCAGGAACTGACCCGTGAGCTTCTCCCTGCCGTTGAGGGAGCTTGGGTTGGGACTGAGCAGCGCCCTGACATCCACTCTTGTCTCGTTGTAGTAGACGGAGGCGATGGTGGCGGTGCACCTGAAGGACAGCACGCCGTGCTGCATGTGCTCAGGCAGCACCTCGAACTGCAGCCCCAGCGTCGACGTCTCGAGGCCGTGTGGCCCGCGCACAGGCGCGTAGTCCACGAGGAACGCCTGCTCGGCCTGCGTGCCCAAATATGGTCGGGTCATCGGCGGAAAAATTGGTGTTGAAAAATATTGATTTTTTATAATCATACTGGTTTAAAAACCCGAATATGGTCGGGTCAGCGGCGGAAAGATTGGTTTTGAAAAATATTAAATATGCTGGTTTATGTTGGTTTTAAAACCACCTGGTTTAAATATGCAATATGTTGGTTTTAAAACCCAAATATGGTCGGGTCAGCGGCAGAAAGATTGGTGTTGGAAATATTAATTTTAATACTCATGTTGGTTTTAAACTCCAAATATGGTCGTGTCAGCGGCAGAAAGATTGGTGTTGAAAATATTAATTTGAATACTCATGTTGGTTTTAAAACCCAAATATGGTCAAATCATCGGCAGAAAAATTGGTTTTGAAGATAATAATTTTAATTCTCATGTTGGTTTTTAGAAAAATCAGGATCAAAATGGGTGCTTGGATTAAGGAATATTAATGGTCTTTCCACCACTATGCTGCTGGATTTTTCTTAGTAATCATAAAGTATTTTCATTTTTTAATCTCTATATCTCTTGTGTCTGCAAAAGCGACTTAAAACAGAATCGACAAATTTGTGTAGAAGTAAATCTACACAAAAGCTCTAGCTCTCACCTTGTCGTTGATGTACCAGCTGAGGGCGGCAGCTCTCACCTTGACGTTGATGTACCAGCTGAGGGCGGCAGCTCTCACCTTGATGTCGTTGATGTACCAGCTGAGGGCGGCCGCTGGCTTGGACCGCGAGGAGCAGTTGAGGGCGGCCGCGTCGCCCGCGTGGTAGAGACGACGCACGCCCGTCACGCGGGGCGGGGAGGACGGCAGGTCTAAGGACGGAGGGACTGCGTTATTGGAGTAGAATTGATAACTTCGATAAGAGATACAAGGAAAATCTGTAAATATTGTAGTTAAGGCGGTACGTATTCATCAGGGGATTTCCATATTCGTGATGGTATATATTTGATTGCCAATCTGCTTGATCTAAATTGTACATTCAGAAAGCAAACATATTTGGAACAAATTCCGTTCAACTTTATATACGACAATAATCATATATGTTAACTTTAATTAACCTAATATTTTCAGATTCAGTGATAGTCTTCGAATTATTTAAAGCCAGAACTTGAGTGCTACTCTGATTTTAAAATATTGAAAGACCGCCGCAAGTTTTAAAAGTTGATCAAATTGCTTAGTTATCCATAGTTTAATCATTACATTACGATTTATGGTTTAGTTATCGCATCGTTCAATTATCATATCGTTTAGTTATCAAATAATTCTCATCAGATTGTTTATAGTTATTAAAAAATTTTTCATCCAGATCGTCTAGTTATCAAATCATATCTTATAACATTCTTTAGTTATCAAATCATTTCCTATCAGATCGTTTAGTTATCATCGTTAAGGTATCACATCGTTTAAGGGAATATAAGAACGGCACCTCAAGCATTCGAACTCCCGTTCCTCCATGTGCAGTGAATTTTCTTGCATCAGCTTTGGCAGACTCAGGACATTTGTTCATAAACTAGGTGAACAAATATTCATGATTGTTGGAAGCTCAATAAACGTGAACCATAACATATGAAGATATTTACCATGTATATAGTGATTCAGAAATAATAAATCGGACTTTATTTTTATATAGAGTTTCAACACTTTTTCAAGTTTTCTAAAAACTTCCTTTTCTATTACACTTAGGCGTCGAATAATGATTCTGGATAAAAAAGACACGATCGCAGCTCTAAAATAAAAATCCATATATTCTAACGTTTCGGCTATCTACACTTTAGCCATCATCAGAGAAAATAAGATGTTAATTAAGATGTTAAAAATAAGATGGTAAGTTAATAAGATGTTAATAAGATGTTAAATAAGATGTTAATTCCGTCCTAAATTTGTAAACTTCAAATTATACGATGTTGCTGCAGTGAACGAGAAAGCTACTGTGAAGTTCAAAGAAACCTTACTGCAGCGCGAAATTGATAAGAAGAGCTCAGAACTTCACCAGACATCTAAGAACAGCGTGCGTCATACTCTGTTTCTGAAGCAGAGGGTATCTGTTCTGTATTTCTACTCCTGCATCAAGTTGTTGCAAAGGATCTTAGCCCAACATGAGGCAGACATTTTGTTCCATCACAACCGCAAATTACGCCAGTTGTATGGCAATGAAGTTTTCCTCACTGCCAGCCAAAGCTCCATACATAATATTTCCAAGTATGCATTGAGCAAGAGCGAAGAAACATTACTTAATAGAGGACTCAACTTTTGCTTAAGGAAGAAAAGTAATACCATCACTCGCCAGATATCAATGGAAAAACTTTTTATGCGAATTCTGGAATCCAAGCAACAAAATAAAATCACCATAAACAATGTTGATCACCTAAAAACAAAATTGAAGCATTTTGGCATACGCCGCAATCCGGACAGAACCAAAGACCCACTATCTGATGATGAGAAAAAAGCATTACAAGATCTCAAGACCAACGACCAGATTACCATCCAGAGGCCCGACAAGGGTGGAGGTGTAGTAATATTAGACAGAGCAGTCTATATGCAAAAATTATCAGAGCTTCTGAGCGACCCTACCAAATTTTGTTCATGTAGTACTAACCAAACGCAAAAAGTTAAAGATGAGATTAACAACATTGCCAATAACCTGAAGCAAAATCACGCATCGTGGTACTGGAAAATCAAGCGGACTGGAGATTTCAACAACGGACATCTCTACGGGTTGCCAAAAATTCATAAAAATGTAGAAGATCCACCATTACGTCCAATAATAAGCATGTCCGGCACAGTCACGCATGAAATATCTCAGATAATAAATAAGCTCATTCGGCCTTTCATCAATGATTCATTCATCCTAAAAAATGCTGATCAATTACTTCTAGAAACTGGCTCTCTAGTCCTACGTCCAGGCAATCAGTTGGTTTCCCTGGATGTGGAGAGCCTGTTCACGAATGTTCCCGTTGGACCAACTATCGATATTATCATGGAACGATGTTACCACCATCCTGAACTGCCATGTCCGGATCTACCGGCTGCTACCTTGCGTGAATTGCTGCACATCTGCACGACCAAAACTCCTTTTGAATTCAATAATCAAACCTACACGCAACTTGATGGAGTAAGCATGGGATCCCCACTCGGCCCAACCTTTGCAGACTTTTATATGTCCAATTTGGAAACTAAATTACTAAATGAAAATAAAGCCTCCAACCCGCTATTTTACAGACGTTATGTGGATGATATAATAGCCATCTTTGAAAACAAGTCTCATCTGAATTGGTTCAAAATACGCCTGCACCGCAACTCTGTTCTCAAATTTACCCATGAAGCACCGTCCAACAACCAATTTCATTTCTTGGATATCAACTTCAGTATTCAAGACAATGGAAACCTATCCACAGCAGTCTACATCAAACCTACTGACAAGGGTATCTACTCCAGTTTCCAATCCTGTTCACCTCTAAACTATAAAAAGTCAGTCGTGAAAACACTTGTCAATAGAGCATTGAAATATTCATCCGACTGGCCATCGTTTCATTCGGAAATTCAGAGAATTAAACAAGTTTTTGCTAACTGCAACTATCCCCAAGCCATAGTGGAACGAACCGTTAATAATACCCTCGCAAAGTATCAATCAACTAGTAGCAACGACATGGATAAATCAGAAATAAATTATTTTGTAGAATTAACCAACCTTTCGACTTTCAAGCAAGACCAGAAATTACTGCGTAATATTGTAAAAGATCATGTCAAGTCCACAGATGATCACAAATCAGTCTCCGTAACTGGATTCTACAGACCAATTAAACTTTCATCTGCATTCTCTACAAGACCCCGAAAACCAGTTCCACAAGGGCTCGTGTTGTGTATCGTTTCGTGTGCCCCATTGATGGCTGTAATGCCTCATATCTCGGATACACCACTTGTACTTTGGAACGAAGAAGTAAACAGCACCGTTACAGTAGCAGCAGTATCCACAAGCACTTCGTTGAAGACCATAACAGCCCTGTTCCCAACAACATATCCGACTGCTTCTCTATAATTCATTCTTTTTCTGAAGTATTAGACCTTAGAATAGCGGAGGCAATAGCTATTAGACAAAATAATCCGTTCATCAATGTAAAATACCAAGAGATGTCAAATTTCCTCAATTTGTATAGATAAAATCTGATCTGATATTTACTGTATTCTTATCTGAATTTCTATTCTTTCCAGATTAACATCTTATTTTCTCTGATGATGGCTAAAGTGTAGATAGCCGAAACGTTAGAATATATGGATTTTTATTTTAGAACTGCGATCGTGTCTTTTTTATCCAGAATCATTATTCGACGCCTAAGTGTAATAGAAAAGGAAGTTTTTAGAAAACTTGAAAAAGTGTTGAAACTCTATATACATGTATATAGTGAATGAATAGGTACCGTACTTTTCTTTCATAAGAAATCATTCGCTAATGAATAATTAATTAAAATATCTACTTAGATAGTTATTAAATAATCAATTCGGCAGGCCCTAAAGCAGTTGCATGCACCGCAGCTAAGCGAGGGTACAAAAGAGCCTCGAAATTATGTCGAGTCGTTCGAGAAATACTTTCATTTTAATCAAAAATAATTTATTTCACACGAAATACATGACCGTTAAAAATTTAGTACGAGTGATTTTGAACTAAATAAACAGGATTTCATATCATCTTCATTACATTAACTTAAAATTAAAATGGTATAAATGATAAAACTCACCTGACTTTTGATAAATTGGTAAATATCACGCTTTAGAGGTATTTTGGAATTATTTTCCTTCACGTCAGGAAAAAGATAAATTTTACATAATTATCTCGAAAATTACTCACTCTCTCACCACCTCTGCAGGAGCTAATACAGAATGCGATTTCATAATCCATATGGACTTTTTCTCCTTGCCGTTATCAATTGAAGCACGAGTAACTACTTTAATTATTGGTGTTTCGAAGCATCAGGCGCTGTTGCTTCAACTGTTGGTGTTTCGAAACATCAGGCGCCGCAGCTTCAACTGTTGGTGTTTCGAAGCATCAGGCGCATCTGCTTCAACTGTTGGTGTTTCGAAGCATCAGGCGCCGCAGCTTCAACTGTTGTTGTTCTGAAGCATCATGCGCCTCAGCTTCAACTGTTGGTGTTCTGAAGCATCAGGCGCCTCTGCTTCAACTGTTGGTGTTTGAAGCATCAGGCGCCGCAGCTTCAACTGTTGGTGTTCTGAAGCATCAGGCGTGGCAGCTTCAACTGTTGGTGTTCTGAAGCATCAGGCGCAGCTGCTTCAACTGTTTGTGTTTGAAGCATCAGGCGCAGCTGCTTCAACTGTTTCCGTTTGAAGCATCAAGCGCCTCTGCTTCAACTGTTGGTGTTTGAAGCATCAGGCGCATCTGCTTCAACTGTTGGTGTTTGAAGCATCAGGCGCCTCTGCTTCAACTGCTGGTGTTTGAAGCATCAGGCGCCGCAGCTTCAACTGTTGGTGTTTTGAAGCATCAGGCGCCGCAGCTTCAACTGTTGGTGTTTGAAGCATCAGGCGCCGCAGCTTCAACTGTTGGTGTTCTGAAGCATCAGGCGCGGCAGCTTCAACTGTTGGTGTTTTGAAGCATCAGGCGCCGCAGCTTCAACTGTTGGTGTTTGAAGCATCAGGCGCGGCAGCTTCAACTGTTTACCAGTGAGTCGCTCGGCCACATTTTAGCTCGTGCTGCTCGCCCAATTTGTGCAGGGAAATATTCCATAAGTCTCTTTGACGGTGCGGTCGTTGTTTCGAAACAGCGCGTCTTGCTCTTATTTTTAGAGCCTTTTTTCCCTGAAATATTCCCCTCTTTTGCCTTGAAATTTCATCGAGGGGTAATACCAACCACGGCTCCTCTCCCTCTCAACTCGTTCCTCTCTTTTGTTCCCAATGGAAACGATACATTTTTTGTAGGCGTGTATTCCTACCGCACAGAAAAACACCGAAAAATCCGTCCTAGAAGAAGCTTAAAAAATGCAGCGCTTTAAGAATCTCTGTGAAATTACGTTTTCTGTGAGAACTTTTTTGTCTTTGATTTATGAGTGATTATGAGTGAGAACATAAAACAAAATTCCGTATGAATCGAGCACGGAAACTATTAATAGCAGGCAACATTTATTTCATAAATCTATATTTTTTGTGGCTTGTTAAATTAATAAGACAAACAATGTTCACCTTTTGTATACATTACAAGTCAGTCGTGATATTATCCCACAAAAGTGGTGAACAATTCGTTCAAAACAAAGCGTGGATGCAAAAATACGCTAAGTTTTGTTCACGAGTGAAACGTAAGCCGTTCACAAAGTTAAACATTTGCTAAAGCCGTAATGCGTCGTGCGAGAGAGTGCGCATATTGTGAATGAGTGAACTCATTACACGAGAGAGCAGTCACTCATTACACGAGAGAGCAGTCACTCATTACACGAGAGAGCAGTCACTCATTACACGAGAGAGCAGTCACTCATTACACGAGAGAGCAGTCACTCATTACACGAGAGAGCAGTCACTCATTACACGAGAGAGCAGTCACTCATTACACGAGAGAGCAGTCACTCATTACACGAGAGAGCAGACACTCATTACACGAGAGAGCAGTCACTCATTACACGAGAGAGCAGTCACTCATTACACGAGAGAGCAGTCATGCACGTTTCACTGATATTCAATATTTTTCCGTACAAATAAAGGGCTTCACTTCGATATCAAAGAATATTTTGTTCTGTTCATTTGTATTTTCGCAAAAAGGATGCAATAATTCTAATTATTTGATATTATCCTTTTCGATTAGATTTCGCAAATGAAAATTTCTATATTTTACAGTAGACAGAAAGTAATCCAGCAATTTTGGAATGTTTTTTGTGCGACACTACCACACAAATACAACGATTGATAAGAAATATGCTTAATGTTATCTTCCTTCAATTTTTAATAGAGAGGTTTTTCCCTTACTTCGTCTTAATCGTTCACATTTAAATCCCTACTGTTTATATTTTTCCTTCCTTCAATTGAGTATGATGGTAATATCGAATTTTAACCTAATGATTTAGCTTCGCTTTACTCTTAGGATTTCCTCATTGATATTATATGAAGTATTTAATTGCAATGTAAGAAATAATTTTATTTTAATCAAAGTAAAACTTCGCAGCCATGTGTTTTATTGAACAGCATGCATTTTCTTAAAGGGTTGATGACAAGTTCATCACCCTTTAAAAAAAATAAAACATTATTGGTCGGAGCCAAGATATGAGGGCTGGTGATGAGGGGAGTGAAGAGGGTAACGTCCAGTGATGACAGTGACAGCTTCTAATCTCTTTCTCTGTCTCTTATTTTCCAAAACCTTACACCATAAAGCCGAGCCGAAAGTCGGATTCGTGTTTGTGCTTCCACAAGTGACAACACGCCCGAGAAAATCTGGCAATTCGATTGAATGTTCAGAAATTTTGCGAGGATCAACCAAGAAAGCAAGCTTGCTATTGAGCAGGTGTGCTTTACCTTTAGATATCATTGTTTCGCTGCAATACTTATTTAAATAGAATTAGACGAAATTGTATCTTATTTTTGAGCATCTGACAGTGCAGAGCCCCAAACGTCCCCTCAAGGGTGTATATATATAACATGCGATGTTGGACTAATTTTTCGAGCAGATTGATAATATCTTTGGTAACCCGTGGGCGAGCCACACTACATTCAGGTCGCGTATCTTCAGATTAGGAATAGCACTAGCGAGAGGATTTCTCCGTGTCATATTAAAAGTTTTTCATTCTGATTCCATAATATTTCCGTTTTTTGCTTTGCATCAGCTCTTCATTTCTAGTCATAGCAGGGGATCAAGAATTAAAATTACTTCTTTTGGTGATAACATCAGAAAAACGTGTGCTTTTTCTCTGTTATAAAAAATTCATTCAAGTTCCATAATTCATTAATAAATCGCTTACTACTGCAGAGACTGAAAGTTAAGTGTTTTGTCCTGATTTCAAGTTTCTCTCCAGTTATGTTTCTTGAGATTCAAAGAAATTCTGCGTAAATATTCTGTCTGTATGATAAATGAGAAATCATATTCAGTTCAAAACGCTTTTCAAAATGCTAAATTTGACTCATCAGGTTCACGAAACATCCTTTACTTGGATGAAGAACATTTGTCTGCGGTGATTACATCTGACATTTAAGTTTCTCCGGTGAATAGCATACCATAAGACTGTGCACGTTTATATATTCCATAATTAATTTAGATGTCGAATCGATTATGCAGTGCTTTAAACATTGACTTTCCACTGGTTCAATATTAGACTATATAAGGTGTGCACTTTACGTGTTGCTGTATAATTTAGCATACGTTATCATTAAAAAGTCTTCCTAATGCGAAAAAAAATCAGTAAAATTGCAGCATGAATCCAATGACACTTTTTATATCAAACTTGTGCTAGAAGTGGCAAATTGTGAGCTTGCACACATGTAAGTACAAGCAGGCTACAAAACCTGCACACTGTGTCTTCTGCCAGTGCAGGTCTGGAGTCTTGAGTAAAATGGCACTGGTGGCTGGTATTGTGCTAAAATTCATTGCACACTTTATAGGTAGATTAAAAACTAATCCGCGAAAATTTTCATATAGGAAATAATAATTGACTACAGTCTTAAATCTTACGACCACCTCCAGAAATTCCTGCAGTACAGGGCTGGCTCACGGCTGCCGTAAGTTGGGGCGCTAAGCCCCCCAGTCGACCTCGCGACGCGCCGGATTCCCAGGAGATTATGCGCCCCCTCGTCCGGTGACTTCCCCCGCCACTGTCTCTCGCTGGGACATCCGAGTCGCTTTTTTATAAAGGCCCTCCACTGTCTCTGACTAGAAATTTGGATTCCGAGCCCCTCACTGTCTTTAACTCTGGGAGGATGACTTCACTGTCCTCGGGGCCTTGCTCTCAGAGATTCTGACGTCTGAGTCGCTTACCGCTCGTTCGAATAGGCCATATAGAATTGGACCTTTGAGTTTGGTCCTTCATGAGTCTCCCAAAAAGTCAGATGTCAGATTCAAGGATCTAGGTCGATGAGTTATGCTTTATACGCATAGCTCACAGTCCTGAAGACTTCTACTCTGTCCATTAACGCTTCTCCAAGGGACAGAATAAGTGGTAACAGTTGCTTCATGTAAGGATGCATATCGACAACGGAAATATTGGATCTTCAGCTAACTTTGAGTGAGTTCTAGCGTACTGTGTTCGAAATTTTGTTTAAGAAATAAATTACAATACTGATAATAAATGATCTAATACCAGATACTAAATTATAGTCTCATGTATTTAAATCTATTTGAAATACCAGGGCGCGGGGTTATACATCATATACAAGCGTATAGGCATGGGCCACGTGCCTATGGGTCTGCATCACAGAATTCGATTAATTGCCTTGGTAAGAATCACATACCAGATAACTGGGCAAAACAGCATCACGGAACACGAAAAATTTATATGCTAATAAAGATGATTACATTTACTGCATAGCCTCAATTGATGATATTTTCTTACCGACTACAAGGAGCTTGCCGGAGCCGGAGTCGGTATGGAAGCTGGGAGCCTCGGCCGACACCTCGCACTTGTAGAGGCCCGAGCTGAGGGGCGTGACGCTGCTCAGTACCACCTTGTCCATGCTGCTCCTGTCACGCTGTAAATATTGCCAACATAACCAACGTGATGATATGTTGTAATGGCCAACATATTCCAGTATAGCCAACATAAGAATATCTTATAAAAGCCAACATATTAAAACATAGATAATATAATAATTTCATATAGGAGCTGAGTCACTGCAGTCATCACCACAGCACTTCAGTCATCACAACAGCACTGCAGTCATCACCACAGCACTTCAGTCATCACAACAGCACTGCAGTCATCACAACAGCACTGCAGTCATCACAACAGCACCTCATAAGTCACGTAGCCAAGACACGTGCAGGGGTCTCTGCGCTAATAATTGTGGCATTCCATCATCCCCTGACAGCTTCATCTCGCCCCTGCACTCAACATTTAAACATCGCCCCTTAAGAATAAGTACGATAACATTTAACTGGGATCCTCATTGATCAATCAACGACTGTACCAAGATTCTTTTGATTCGATAACAACAATTTTCGCAATAATATTATAGATAATAATATGTATATGTTAAAGGGAAAATAGTAAGTTGGTTTAATTATCTTTTAACTTTAACTCAACAACTTTAAACTTTAACTTAACAACATTAAAATGTTTTCGTCCTGCAATGGATTTGAGTGGCGCGTAAACATGTCACGGGGTAAAACGTTTTTTCTTTTGCCAGACGCGAATTAATACAATATTGAAATCATGATCGCCATTCGTTAATTTCAAAAAAATTCTCTTCTGTCCTCGAATTAAATTTTGACTAAAACGCAACTTTAACAGCCTAGCTAAGTGAACGTTAATTTTTTAATCATTTTGCAAAATGATGAGGCTTAGTCCTTGCGATTGTGGCTAGGAGCTTTAAAGTACTGTAAAAGCTGTGGTGAATAGTGGAGGGGCTGGGAGCTGCATGTGAAGTATAAAAACGAGTAAAAATGTGATCACCTGCAAAAAGTAATTTTTCAAACAAGTAGAAATATGATCAGCTTGCGAAAATTCAGGCATATGTGTTCAGTAGTATCTAACGAGCACGAATATGATGAGCTATGCTTATATAAAATAATTAATTTATTATTATTCGATACCCACACACACGATTCATTCTAAATCTGAGTAGATTATCGAATTATCGACCCAACTGTTTCACATCCACTAGTTCAAAACATTCCCTCGAACTAAAGAGCTACATATTATCTCGAGTTCGGAGCGACAAACTTCCTCAAGCTCGAGAGTTACGTATTCATTCGATCTCTAGCTAGGGCGCACTATTTCTCGAGCTCTAGAGTGCACTATTTATGTTATGAATGCAGCATAGAACGCACAATTTTACGAGCTCTGGTACGCCCATTTTCTCAAGCTCTAGAGCGCACTTTTCCGCGAGCTCTGGAGCGCACTATTCCTCGCGCTCTATAGCCTAATATTTTGAGTTATAGAACGCACTATTCTTCGAATTCTAGAGCCATTACTCACATCGACAACTACTCCTGGCAAGTCAAAGACTTGTTTGGGTGGGGAGTCGGCGGCCACGTATCTGAAGAACTCCTTGACGCCTTTGTACCACTTGACGTTGTAGAGCTGGTCGCCCTCCAGGTCAAAGTCGCAGTGCAGGGAGACGGTGTCACCTGTGCGGCTGTAGCCCGGCACCGACACCTGGCGCAGCTTTAGCGCATGCGCGCCGCTCCAACCTGTCGAGAGACCGACCGTTCAATCTAAAGTAATAAATGTGATAATTATATGAGAGGATGCAGGAGTTTTGTTAATGTTGTGCAGTTTGGAGGAATCTTAACTGTTCAGTTGAACAGGGGACTAATAAAACTATATTGGTTTGAGGAATAATTGCCGCAATGAATGGTGCAAAGATGTACAATTTAAAAATAGGATATTATAGAGCACTATAATTCTGAAGATCGTAGAACATTCACAGCTTGTTGTGGGTCTTAAACACGCAGTTCACGGCGGCCATCTTGCTGATTTGATTGTGTCGCTGGTGGCTGGGATGGAACCCATAGCTCACTGGTCCAATCCTAGGACTCTGAACTGTATCTGAATCAGAGTGTCCTAGTCTCTGAATCACTAGGCAACCCTGCCCAACGCATACAATTGAATTTTTTATATCAGAGTTCACAGGTATTGTGAACTTTGTTCAAGAGCACCAGATATTTTTGTTATTTAAGGCATAAAGAGGAATTCAAAGCAAGTCCTAGGAATGCAATACATCGACACTTACTATGGTGTCGATGATGCTTCATCTAATCCTTATCTTGCTTCGGCAATTCATTTCGAGGTGAATGAACAAAATTATCTCTCTATTATCAAGCATTCTACTCTATTTTCCAGCACTCAACTGCGTGGAGGGAACATTTAATTACTGATAATATCCATGAGTCTGATTAATAACCGCCCTAATTACTGATAATGATCATGAAACTTATTAATAACAGCCTTATAATTATTGATAATAACCATGAGTATAATTAATAACAGCCTTAACCAACTTATTGAAGTTCAACAGTCGCACTTTTAGCGGGCTACTCCCACTCAATTAACTCATCACTTTTTCTCTTTCATCAAGACGCAGAAATATAGCCAAGACACTGGAAAATAATTTCGCTCGGATATTGCCGTAATCAAGATAACTTAATCAATATTGTCGGATATTGTCGTAATCAACATAAATATCGATATTTGTGCAAGAAATTGCCAGATATGGCGATTTGTTAAGGTTGATTAAAATCACGGAGGTGATGAATATGGTTACTTCTATTATCAGTCTGCTTATATCGCAAGTTCAAAAGAAATTCAAAAGCAAAGAAAACGCCAAGAAAATTCACCGTATCGATATCGAAAACGTCTTCTCAGCATATTTAATTTATTCAATATAAGTTTGGTAATAAAACTTATAGAACAAAAGGTTGATTCCCACAACATCGAGAAATAATTAATTTGATATTTTATAGATGGTTCTCGAACCGCTGAGAGACTTTAGAAAATTGCGTATTCGGTAGTACTCCGAAGTGGAAGTTATTCGATAGTGTCATTTGTAGGCAGAATCTATTATTTACTAATATTTAACTTGCAGACATTATTGAAAGTAAGAAATACTCCCAAAAGATCTCGCTTACATTTCAAGCTCACATGACTGAAATTCCGGTGGCCCGGCCTCCCCACCTTCGACTTCTGCTACAGCCTCGTTACAAAGAAACATATTTCGAGCAAAGTTGGAGGAGTGCAAGCAGCAACACACAAACTCTTGCAGAGGTGAAGCCCTTTGGAAGTTTATGCGATTCTTTAGAGGGCGAGCGAGCTAGAACCCCTAGCGGCAGAGGCTGTCGACAATACACTCGACAAATTATGTTCCGGCCAGGAAGTTCATTATGACTTCATCTTGCGCTGGGGCCCTGGAGAGAAACAAGGAGAGGAGACGCAAAAGCTCAAAAATGACCAAAATCTATTAAGTGTGAGAGAAAAGTCGCGCATTTTGCAGCAGATGTTGTTGGTTCCTTGACGCGCTGCTAGGCCGTCAAGGCTCTGAGACAAGAAGCGTGGCGGCATCTCAGACTAAAAATTCTATTTTGAAAAACAAAGTCCTGTCTACTAGTATGGCCTCGTTAAAAATTAATCGGAAAACGTTTTGTAGAAAACGTATTGCAAATTGCATGGAAGAAGTTGGTCAAAACTTCATTTGCGGATTCATAATTATTTCATTGCCGATGTTGCCGAAAGTTTTTCATTAAAACGTTTTGGTTGCCACTTAATATAATGATAGTTACATTAATTAAATTTTGTTCTCTTTAAACACTTTCATTAACCTGACGCAAACAAAAGTTTACCATGAAAACGCAACCTCGCGCGCTCGGAACATTGCAATCATGTATGGATGTTTGACTTAAATATATTATATATATTTACTAAATGTTAAAAATTGCATTATAATTTGTAATTTTTCAACATGATAGGTATAATAATATCACTTAACAACATACTTGACCTGCAATGTATTGAGATTAGTCGTTCAAATTTAATTTAAAGTTTTCGAATTCGGGGATTAGAATGAGAAGTCTTCTAAGAATAATAAAAATATTTAACATACAATTAATAAGATGATATGTTCTTGCGAGGACTATTTTGAATGGTCAATGTAATCCATAAAATACCATAAAAGTACGATAGCAAATGACAAGAAGGAGTGAAGAGAACAATAATTGAGGAAATCGCTGTAGTAGATCAAAAACAGACAGCCGATTAATTTAATAACAAAATAATCAAGTCGTGTAAGTTTCTAGATGAAAGAATCTGCTCAATTGCTGTCGTCTGTAGGCCTTGCTATGGTCTGATTATATGAACAATACTGGCTTCTGGCGACACTTAGGATACCTCAAATAGGTTGCTGCTGAGAGGCCGCCTCATCAATATCACTATATGAGCTCTGATCACAAGGCTACATGCAGAAACTCATAACGAATTTCATACGCTATTTTTAGTTGAAGAAAACTTGGGATTATTTCGAACAATTTCTAATAACTTGAGATTATTACATTAAACATTATTAGTTACTTTTTCGGCCCTCGGCACCCTACAGGAAGTCACACCATTTACCATGTTACAGAGGGTAATATCGATTACTGTCAAAGTTGCTATGCAACAACGAATATCTATAACTCTGAGAGCTGTGATGCATCAACGAATATCTATAACTCTGAGAGCTGTGATGCAGCAACGAATATCTATAACTCTGAGCGTTGTGATGCATCGAATAATATCTATAACTCTGAGAGTTGTGATGCATCGAATAATATCTATAACTCTGAGAGCTGTTCGACATCAACGAAGGGTCGCGGCGCGGTAAGGCGGCACAGAAGATCGTAAATCATTGCAGTCTCCCCTCGCAGCGCCACTTTTGCACTCGCTCTTTTAAAGCCTGCCAAAGCCTTGTATTTATGTTCGAACTTTGTTGCATAAACGCTCCAGTTGACGGGGCTCGTTGTGAACCAGGCAATGGACTGCCAAGCTCCTTGCTAGTGCCGCGGCACTACAGTGACGGGGCTCGTTGTGAACCAGGCAATGGACTGCCAAGCTCCATGCTAGTGCCACGGTACTACAGTGACGGGGCTCGTTGTGAACCAGGCAATGGACTGCCAAGCTCCATGCTAGTACCACGGCACTACAGTGACGGGCTCGTTGTGAACCAGGCAATGGACTGCCAAACTCCACGCTAGTGCCGCGGCACTCGAGTGACGGGGCTCGTTGTGAACCAGGCAATGGACTGCCAAGCTCCATGCTAGTACCACGGCATCAACTACTTCTCAAGCTTCACTTGCAATTCCAAGTCTATCATGAGAACCACAAAATATTTTTTATTCGAAATTGCACTCGTTACTCGACACTCTTTTCTATTTTCAGCTATTATAGAAGTTCGTATTAAAATATATTGTGCTTCTCAACCTTCCGGTTCCTCCACCCTGTTGTCATCGCTCGTTTTATCCAATGAATTTTTCGATTCTAGATTTCAATTGATTGTCGAAATATAGTTCTATATATTTCATTACAAATTCTGGACGCAACCATTATTTGTGAGCAAATTTTGAACATTCGCTTTTATGTCATTTTATCGTACATCTATTTTAACTATCAAACAATCGCAAAGTTCGAAAACTGCTAGGAAGCGTTCAGGACAGGTGTTCGTTACATAGACCTTCAAGAAAATTCAATTCTAATTAATCTAATCAAATTCAATTTTAGGCCTTCAAGAAAATTCATTAGAAATATTCCAGAGAATGGAACCACCAGGCCTGCCAACGCTAATTTCTTGCGGTAATTTAGAAGAAGTCTTTTTTTCTTGAAGTAATACTAAGAAGTCCTGCGTATTTGAGCATCAACTTCTTTCCTGGTCGAATGAATTACTCGGCTCAGTAAGTTTTGCAAATATACACTGGGGCAAAGTTCTACCTAAGGGCGAAAACGCATCCTAAATTTTGAGAGCACTTCATCATGCATTTAACCTGCGCGCTCAACGAGGATTCAGTTTATCTTGGAAGTGTTTTATTCGTTCAATAAGAAGCTCCAAAACAAACACGTTGATGTCATTGCAGTTGATAAGCCAAAGCCGATGTCGCTGAGGCTCAAGTCGCGCTATGAATTTTACTCTCGAACACTAACACCTCGTCAGCGCAGTAGCGCCCCTGCCAGTCGATGTGGCACAATACGAAGGGCATTAAAAATACTATTCAAGCGACAAGTAATATGAATTGGATATTTGCATGTCCATTTCACCCATATTATTTAAAATTCAAATATTTAAAATTCTCTTGCATATATACTGATACCTCAATATTTCAAAAAAATGTGTTTAATAAACTCGGTGCCCCACTGGAAATATTTGAATGAATGGGTGAGCTGGGGCCATCAATATACTCGTACCTTGACATAGAATAAGTTTGAAGTTGATAACAATTATCATAATTTGTTGGCCTCTTTCGTTCAGTCGGTAAGCGATCATCCTGACATTTAGCATCACAAATAAGTTGCTTCCTCACTTGTAGAATTTAATTCTGGAACTCTCAGCTATGCCGCTTACAGGACACCACACCATTCGCTGCATGCCTATACGTAGCATGAATATCTCACACGTTCATAGTGTGCATATCCATCATTATCCCTCATCTAAGCGTGAAGGAATCACACGATT